GAAATTAACTTTTTATATATGGGTCAATTTGGTGAATAACCAAAAAATAAATTATAATTCAAAATCTAAAAAAAATGGTTAATGTGGCATTATTGTAACCATTAGATTTAGAGTAATTAGTTACTTAGTGGATTATAATTTTTTTATAGTTATTAAACTCAATTTCCCTTTAATATATAAAATTACAGCCAAAATTTGTTAAATACAAATCTAATTAAACTTATCATCAAAAAGAAAGAAGATACGAATCTTTAACAAAGCTGAAATAAAAAATAAACACCACATGATATTTTATAAAGTTTGTGGAGTATTAATAATGCAAGAGTTTAATCTATAAGCCAGGCTTTCTAAACCCCAAATCTAATCAAATATCACTTCCACAACAAGTGGCCTTTGGTGGATGGGAGAAAGAAAAAAACCAAAACTTAAGGCCAAATGTGAACAGAATAACCAACGGTCCAAATTGCACGTAGTTAATTATTAAGTTTTTTTTTTGTTGGTAAACAGTATTAAGGTTTTTGTGAAAATATTCTTTTTGCTAAGATTTCTTTGAAAAGGATTAAAATTTGCTTACGGCTTACGTCTCATAAGATCAAATATACTATATGACCACCAAAAAGACCACCTAACTTTATCATCATACCGCAAACGTTGTTGTGATTCAATTTATACTAATCCTTTTTATAGAGGTTATATGAAATTTTACGACATTAGTTTTTGCTGTTGTTGTTGAATATACACATACATACATACACTATAGCATAAACGGTTATCCGGATCAAATTATCCGAAACGATCAAGGGGAATTGGAGATATATGACGAAACTCAAGTTTCAGAAGAAGATTCTGTTCGATCGATCTATTGACTCCACCGGACAACATAAATTCTAAAGAAAGAGTGGTTACGCAACTAACAAAAGTTAAAAAAAATGCGATTGTATTTCGTATCGGCTATGCGTGAAAATTGTGGCTAAAACGAGTTTATGAGCTACGAGATTGAAGCAGAATTTTAGTTTCATTTGATATGAGTTTATCTTTACACTTGGTATAATCTATTTCCAAGAACTATATGACTTTGGCTATCGTTTGTAATTTTTTTATTAAAAAAATAAAAAAATATAGATATAAAAGAGTTAAATAT